CCGAGGCGGAGTTCGCACATCGAGGTAAATTTTTGCAGCCGGAGCTGGTCGTAACCCAAAACGTTCGTTAGTAGAGGCGTTCATATCCCGAGGTACCACTGTATCTTTTTAAGCTGGCTTTTCCTTGATACAATATATACTTCATGTCAATTTTTTATGGTTGTTTTAAGAATGGTATTATAAGGTTTAATTGTTATTTATGGACTCATCTATTTGTTGTTAACTGAAGTTGTTAACTGTCATAATCTTACTTTGCTGGAAGTGAGTGGGTTCTAGATAAGACTGATAAACAGGATTCAAATGCCTCTTTCTATGCAAAACCAAACTAAAAGGATCACAGGCTCTGAGAACGAAGTGGAATGCAATCCAAATGAGCACAGCTCAAAACAGCCATTTTAAACCCCCCCCTCTCTTACTGATGAATCAAAATTGGAACCCAAATTGATAGGAAGCATGGTGATGGTAGTTCCTGCCCTCTTGTGGCAAAGTTCTGATCTCACTGCATTAAAGAACACCTCCAGTAACTCATTATGTATGGTTAAAGGTCTTTAACTTAAGCAGGTGTACCCTCATGGAGGGGAGAACAGCAGTCCAACTCTCCCACTGGTTTTTCACCTTCTTAAACTTTTAGCCAGCTCTCCTTTAGTAGCCAAAAAAGAAAAAGAAAAAAGAAAAAAAACCAGTCTGCTTTCCACTCCAATGTTACCAACTCCCTTACCTCCCAGAGGTAGATGCTTTCAGCAATACCTGCCAAGATGTAGAGACCATTGGGAGCGGCTGTCAGGCAAGTCACTGGGCCTGGGCATATTATCTTCTGCTGGAGTTGATCCTAGAGACACAGAAAAAGAATGCAGATGAGCAAGGATACACTTGAGCTGAAATGGGACTCAACAGGGATCAGAAGGAGTGATACGTGACATATACCTCAAACAAGGGAGAGGATAGAGTGTGCCAGGCTTGAGAGGGAGAAACTGCAGCTCAGTGGTAGGACACACATGCATTGCATGCAGAATATTCCAGATTCAATCACCTGGTAAAAAGGACCAGGCAGAAAGTGAAAGAAAGCCCTCTCTGTCTGACATGTAGATGCTAGGCAGACAATGTAAGATCAACATGTATGATTAGGATGGTGTAGTAAGATTAGAGACATCCAGAATAACCCATTTGTTTCCCATTTACAACACAGGCTTGTAGATGCCTTTAGGAAGCCCACAAGTGAGATAATAAGTCAGTGGCTCTCTCATGCTGTTGCTCCCCTGCAACTGGAGAGAAATGATTTTTAACCTGGGAGCTGCACTGTTAATCAAATACAGTAATTACCATGGATAGAAATTCTCCTTCCCCAAAAATTTAACTCTCCTCTATTTAAAACCATCCAAGCCAGTGGCTGTTCTTATATTAGGAGGAAATACGTTTTCTAAGATACACCCTGTGCAAAGAAGTCCTTTATGAATCTCTTGTTGAACAAGCCCTGGATAATCAAGCTCTAGTATTATGAGGAGGAGCAAAATGTCTCCCCGCTTGTTTTCTGCTTTTCATGCCTGTCAGACTGAATGCCGGGACCAAAATCAGCCTGAATCACAGCTCCTACAATGTTCTGTGCCGTCCATACAACCTAAGATCATCAATGCTAAATCTTCCAGATTTGGGTGATGGACCATTTAAAGAGGGAGAGATAAGTTCACAGAAGATAAACCTTGTAACTCTTAGTTATTAGAGACAAATATAGCTTCTGAGCAGGATGTTGGGATCTCTCGATCGCCGAGATCCAGCAAAGCAATTTTTATATTCATAAAAGGCACATAAATGGAATGTTAGCAATATCTTTCCCTATCCTCATCTATGCGCAAAACTATTCCATGTTCCAATTTGAGGAGTAGAAACTTTTTAGTATTTTAAAATAAAATGTTATTTTCATGAGCTGCATTAAGTACATATTCCACATTGGGACAAATGTGTATTTATCTATCTTTAAAACGGACGGAGGCTCAGAAATGCATTAAAGCTCATGTCTGTATTATGATAGAACTGATGCTAGTCTTAAGCTAAGGAACACGTGTGTCTGTGTATCTTATTTGTAGGCTTCCCACTCAGAGTGACTCTGGGTGGTGTATGGATCAAAACCATAAAAAAGAGGAAAGATGGCTGGACAAGGGAAAAGCACCACTATAACAACAAAACCAACATACAATTAACTCACACCAGGTCTTAACCCAACCCCTGGGGGAAGAGTCAGGTCTTAAGATTTGTCCAAATGAGAGCAGAGTTACATCTGTTTGGATCTCTGAGGCCAGATACCATGACGGAGAAGCTTCAGAGCAAAACAAGGCTGAATTCCTGAGTTTCCCATTTCCTTCTCATTTTAAGCTAAATAGCTGAACTGAAACAAATATTTCAATTCTATTCTATTACTTAAAAACTGTGGAAAGAAGAGTCACGAGATGACACCATTTACAGCAATTTAACAAAAAACACACTGAAGTAATAAAATGCATTTCAGCAGAAAAGCCAAAAGATCTACAGCTGTCCACAGAAGAGCATTGGTTGGGAAGCTGGATGGCATCTTGGAACATGCATGTTGCTCAATGGGCTTCACCTTTTTCTCTTACAGCAGAAAAAAACATGAGTAAAATTTTCAGCAGCAATTTCTAGTACTTCAATAATAAAAATAATAATAAAATATTCATGGGATGCAGGTTCTTTAAAGACCTAATGAAATAGTTACATCAGGCAATTAAAGTCCTACTCTCAGAAATGTCACCCAAACTACCCACAAATCCACTCTGAATCCCAGCCCACCTGAAGTTTGGGGATAACAATACAGATTTATCTCAAAAGACTGCACGTAGTCTTAGAGAGATCTTGTTGACCTCTTCCCTCCTGGGGGTTCAGGAGAGCCATCAAGACGGGCCTTTTCCACCTAGCTCAGGAAGAAGGCATGCTCTGAATGTTAAGATGCACTGGTGGACACAATTTGGGATTTTTATTCTCTAAGATGATTTGAGATTTTTTAGTGGGAGGGGGAAGTTGTTACTTATAGGGTTTTTTTCCTTTTATGATGTTTCTGATTGTTAGCTGCTCAGAGCCTTCAGGGATAAGGAGCATACAAATACAATAAATACATAACATCAATTAAAAAAAAATCCCTTTCATGAATTGCTTCTTTGATAAAGGACTTTCTAATGCGATTTTTCTCTCTCTGGATTCACTTCTGGTTTATATCCATATCTTATTCAGCGTCTGGACAGACTGCCAAGTTATCTTTTGACTTTTTCTTCTTCATTTCTCCTTGTCCCACTCTTTCTTCCTTTCTTACAGCTTTTGTTTGCTTTTTATTCTCCTTTTGTTTAAGGACATTATATGATCATATTTTATTTGAGAGCTGCAGAGTCATCTCAACTGGAAGTGAAATGTTAGTTTTTTCTTATGGCTTTTCTTTCTTTTATCATGTAGTACAGGTAATCCCCAGTTTAAGAGTGAGTTGTCCTTAAGTCCAATTTGTATGTAAGCTGGAATATTATTGCATAATACTGTATAAGTAGTATTGTGTAACTAGCTTGAACCATTGCGTATTTAACTCGAATTTTGCTATGGCTCCATTCTTAACTATGGGTCATCTGTAAACTGGGCGTTCTTAACCTGAGGACTACCTGTATTTTACTTTACTGTTTCACTATTTTTTTCTTTAACTATTGTGGGCTTGTATTTATCTAAATTGTATTCAGACAGTTAATAACTATTAATGTGCTACTCAAAACAAGATGAAGCTTTTTACTACAAGAATGCTTTATGCTATGTACTAAGATACACTTCAGGTCTTACAAAAGATTGGTACTGGAGTGATATTTGTGGACCAACAGAATTAACTGAATTTAGTTAGGCTTAATATAAAAGGGTTGGGAGAATCTAGGAAACATGTAGTTTTAACCTTTAAAAACTTGTTTGTTCAACCATTAAGTGATTATCATTTTTGATTATGTACTAAATGTACCATTCTTTAGGAATTCTTATTCTAAGCAACATTTCTCAAATAATTACATTGAATGTGAATAAGATGTATAAAGAGGTTTCTGTGGACATTGCTATATGGGAGTCATTAAATTCTATCTTCTGGGATAGGAAGATTCTTAAATTGAATATAATTCCCAGGGTACTTTATATTTTGTGTGGAATTCCTATATACACTTTTAAGAAAACATTATACTGTTTCATGTATTTCTATGGGGTTCTTTAATTCCAAAGTTATCTTTGAAGAAGATGCAATTGTCAATTCAAGATGGGGATTTCATTTTTCCAAATCTTGAATCAAACTATTATGGATACCTTTCAACTAGCACCAAATTCTGCACACACGGTGCAAATTCTCCATCCTGGGCCCTTTCGAAATATTCGCAACACCTTTAATTAACTGGATTGTTTTGAGTTCAAAATATTTAAAAAATTGTTATATCTCCTGTCACTACTATATCAATTTGAAAGTTGTTATTTCTGGAAAAATGGATTTAATCCTTTTTCTCATCCTAAATTGATGCTATGTGATAATCCAGATCTCAAAATTGATTTAAAAATGATTTTATAGAAGTCCTGGATGAATGTTGGGATCTTTACAGTACATTAGCTCAACTAGCAGATAACAAGGAATTTTAATCAATTTCTATGTTACAAGATAAATACCATTTGTCAGTTGCCACCCTGTGGCAGCATTTACAATTACAACATTAACTGACATCTTGATTTGGACCAGAGGCATTTTCAGCCACAGAGACATTTAAGTTATTAGATGGGATCGTTAAATCCTATTAGACCCCAAAAGCCCTGTCTTTATAAATACTAATTATCAATAAATCAACTTGATATGCAAACTTTAACTGACTCCCAATTTGCTCAAACAATGGGGAAAATGTTTTAACCTCAATAGCAAAAGTCTCATTAGATTTTAGATTACAGCTTATACAACTAAAAAATAATTATTGCGGACTAGCTGGACCCCACTGCATTTGTGCAGAAAAGGGATAAGTAAAATCACCAGAATACAACTTCATTAAAATATATGCTGTCATAATGTCCTAAAATTGTTACACTCTGGGAACACGTACTTACATACAGTAATTTGATTTTGAAATAGTTTAATCTTTTTGAATGCACACATTGTTTGAACTACACACTACTACAATTACAAGGAAACTGGCAGCTAGACAATGGAAGTGAATTCTCTGTGCCCTTATTGTGCCAAGAGATTAGTTCCTCAACATTGGAAAGACAAATTTATAGCCTCAATTACTTAACAGATTGAAGACAAATGTGACTTGTGAATGTGATTGAAGACGAATGTGAATGAAATGCCCAGATTTATGCATGGACAATTTCACTGAAATATGGTTATCTTTTATTGAACCTGTTATGAAAAAAATGTCATATCCATATCTGTACATGTATGAGAAACCTATATATACCATTTATCTTGTTGTAATTTCACTGGAATTTTTGTTGCTGCTGTTATTCTGTTATAATTTTTTTTTCTTTCTCCCCTCACTGTTCTATTAAACAAAGCCACACCATTCTGTGGCTTAAATTTATTTATTTCTGGGACTTATAGCCACCCCCAATGGATGGCTTATGTAATAGTATAATAGATTGAAAAACAAAGGATTACATCATCAAAAAGAGAAAAGTCCTGAAAAAAAGACCAACAAGTGTTCAGAAACCAGAAACATCACTCAAGAGGCTATACAAATCCAGAGGAAGGGGAATGGTGTTCCAGAGGCCTGCTTCTTGGGTCTTGCCTAATTGATGGGACTTGGAATGTGCCAACTCTGTCAGGCTGTGTGGGACAGCATAAACTACTGGGATGGATAGTCCATCTAATAATCAGCACCTTGAATTGCACCTAGAAACCTACTAGCAAGTACAGCAGAGGTGTTACATGGGCATGCTATGGGATGCCTGTAACTGGCTGTGCTGCTGCATTCTGGACCATCTGCAGCTTCTGAATGGTCTTCAAGGACAGCCTCATGTAAAGCACATTGCTATAATCCAATCATGAGGTGACCAGAGGGACTGTTTTAAGGACCTTCCAGTCTAACTAAGGGTGCAACTGGCACACTAGATGAATTTGTGCCAATTCAAATAGGAGCTGTGAGTCCAAGAAGATGCCCCCCCCCAGCAAATTGCATACCAATCCTGAAGAGGGGAGTGCATTCTGTTCACGATCAAATAAATAAATGCTGGGAGGGCGGAGCTGGCGTCGCGGCGATATGGCG